ATTTTCGAGAGTGTCTTGCCTCCAAAGAGGTGAACGAATGTAGGTAAAAAATGTAGCCTCCAAACCCCTGGCCATTGCCCCTAGTGAGTCTTCTATTTCTTGGGTAGTATGCACTATTGATTCTGCATTTAAGGTACGTAGAATTAATACCAAAACGATGCGCTTTTATTGTTTTATTTGGAAAAGAGCTCAAAATGGCGAACGTTATTTTCATCTTTTGCGTTCGTGATAGTACGCTTGAAACTCACTGCAATGAAGCTGTAGTTGTTCCAGTGACTACGGGACTGATTATGCATGAGTTGCTTCCACGCTGCTTTCCGGCGTTTGTAGTCCCTCTAGCAGTCGTCATTCCACCAAATATTAGCTGTAGGGTCTTTCCTTCCTTGTATCTTGAACTCCGACCTCTTACAAGCAGAGTCAAGAATATTGCAAAGATTACCTTCACTACTTGCACGTTCAGCCAAAGCTGTGAAAGTTGCCCGCTAATTCATTTAAACCTGATTTCACCAATAAATTAACAAACTAGACGCTTTGCAATATACTGTGATACGTGGATCTCAAATATTACAGGAATGTGGTCGCTAATCGAACCAGTGTCGACAATCTCCCAGGACAACGCCTGAAGTCCTGGACCCGAAAAGGTAAGATCTAGCACCGAGTGGGATTGGCCCCGTAAAAATGTTAATGATCCAGTGTTGTGACAGGTGAAACTGTTCAATGCTGCTTTGTCCCATGGGCGTTTTCTATTCTGATCCGTTCTAAATCCCCATAATGTATGATGAGAGTTGAAATCTCCAGCTGGCACAACCTTTTTTCCACAGTTTATAAGAACTGAATCTAGTGACTATTTAGCACACCAAAAGAAAAATATGCATTAACCAGGGGAAGTTTGGCCCCTCCTGGAAGAGTTAGCTCTACTGCTTATATCTCACTTTCTGTAGACATTGGCTGAAAGGATAGCCTTGCTTTATGGCAGAATTTATTGAAGAGAAGAGTGAGTAAACCATTTCCTCTGGATAGACAATCTAACTGTATGGTCTGTAATCACGCGGACTAAAGAATTCATGAGAAGATAACCAAGTTTCTTGTAATATGATAGCATCTGCATAAATCGGAGGAATAAAACGTTGAGATCAGTAAAAGCAGCAAATACGGATCGACAGTTCCGCTGCAGCACTCTCATCTATCTTCCGGTGACAAAAGAACCGTAGAGGCTACAGCCTCCTCTAAAATGTTAGCTGTACTCTTGATCTGAGTAGAGCTTTCTTTGATTTATAGTTAGTACAGGTAATGGAAACCTTTAGCGGAGGCCCCCTTCATTTCTGTGCACGCGGGTCGACAACCATGCTTGCGCATTCCTGTAAATCTGCATGGAAGATTTGTGAGTCTGATGAGCTACCACCCTTTGCATACAAGCTGGAACTAGGACCCTCATTCGAGTGCCTCGTCTAAACATCGTCTACAGCATTTCCGCCTCCATCCGAAATTCAGCCGCTGCAGCTAGGATTTAATCCCGCGACTTGCGGGTTAGCAGCCGAGTACCTTAGCCACTACACCACTGCTGGGGGCCTGAACATCGTCTACTTGTGAGGAAACAATTCTTTGGCTGTTACCCACTGGCGGAACACTACCCACTTGTGGCAAAAGCCCCATTTCGGACGCTAATAACCCACTAATGCTTTCGGACAGTCTCTACGACAGGTTTCATCAATTTCGCCAAAGCTTCTTTGACCGATTCTGCGATCACTTGCGAACTATTCACCTGAATCATTGCCCCGTGACGTGCAGTTACGCTAGCATAACTATGCTCTCTTTCTTTTATAGCTGAAACAGCCTCCTTGCGTGAGCATCGCTATTTGTCCGTCATCTCTAAGGCTGGTATCACTTGGTTTCTAACTGGGCATGCACGGTTATCAGCCTTGTGTGTACCTCCACACAGGCAGCGTTTGAGGACTTGAGCAGAGCAGTCATCCGGGAAGTGACCCTCACCACAAGAACAACAACGTAAAGCAGATTTGCAACCTCCCATACTTTGGCCATAGCGCCAGCAGTTGCGACATTGTAATGGACGTGAGGCAAGCGGGTCTACTCTAAAAATCAAAGGCCACACTTGTATTTCCGAAAGGCATGACATACCGGTAAATGTGGCTATCACCGACTCAGTGGGGACCCGTTGTTTATCGACTGTTCTGTAGCACCGGTATATAGCTATCGCACCAGCGGCGCAAAGCTTCTCGAGTGTCTCTTCTGGGCTTAATCTTACTATCTACTCCGCGAACGATCCCCTTGGTGCATGCAAGGTGTGGTGGGATGAAAGCATTCGCTTGCATCGATCCAAATGTTGAGCATTTCAGAAGATTATGCACAAAAGTTTGGTCAGGTGATCTACAAATTATCCCACCTATGCCCAACTGCTGAAGATCAGTATTGTGAAGGTAGTGGCGCATGGCCAACTGGAGCTCAGCTTGCACCGCTTTCGCGTTGGTAGGCCGAATGAATCCTCCATGCAGGGGTACTAGAGCTACAAGAATACTGTGTACACCACCGCAAAAGAACGCTTCAAGTGGCATTTGATCAGGTGGAACAGAGGCCGACCAAAGAGGACGCTGCCTCTGGCCACCTCCTGGAGAATTTGTTGACATCACCTCAGCTAGCAAAGACAAGCTGTAATTGATCACTATCTGACAAGAAAGCGTTGCTACGCTACACTCGCTGGGCGTAACCTCCTTGATTTTGGAAAGGTTTAGCGAGCGTTGAGCCGCAGTGCCATGAATACAGTGAACTAGCATATACCATGAACTCGAGGTGGTTAAAGGTGGGAAGTAAAGGTGGGAAGTTAAAGGTGGGAAGCCGTAAGAAAGTGTGCATGTGCACCTCTCGTTTAGTCCTTGTAATGTCCGCTGGATGACGGTGCTTTTATATGGGGAATATATTTTAGCGAAACTTCGGGGTTGTTTTAAGCTAGACGCATCTGGAGACCGTCCAGGCGAAGAAGCGTGGAAGCGATTCCGCACAGGCAAGCGATGACAAGTCGACACGATGATTTCGGGGAGCACTCATTGGGGGTTTGTTTATTCAATACAACTTGAATTTACATAATGCACTAGGTCGCAAATACAAAACATGGAAAATGGTGGCATACCCCTCGGCTTGCATGACTGGTCTCCGGTGGTGAAATGCGCTGCTGACTCCAGGTCGGCTCACCCCAAAAAGCACCTGAGTCACTGCTTAAATAGGGTTTTCCAGCATTCATGGGTGCGTGTACCAACCAGACAAGCCGAGGATAACCAATCCAACATGAGTTTTCCTGGTCGCCTGAAGCCTGACTCGCGAAAAAACTGTGGCAGCTTCTGGAAACGGGCGCCTTCTCCGAAACTGCCTGAACGCGCTAACAATTGCTCAAATTTTAGTCCCCTTTTTCCCCGGAGTACCGAAGTGGCGGCTTGTTCAATTGAAGTGTGGGGGGCTCAGTGGTTAGAAGGAGAAAGGCACATAACTTCTGCAGTGCCGTCAAAATCACGGCGCGGTGCCTGCTTTGGCGGGAAGCGCACAGTGACCGACCAGATGCAGCCCTTTCGGTTTAGACTTTCATTCTTCCTCGAGGCGCCCTTCCCGAGATAAGTCGTTAAATGACGCTGCTATTAAGAAATCTGGCAAAGTACGAACTCTAGCAGTAGTTGGAAAAGAAGCTTTCCGCGAGATATTGCCTTCGCGACAATATGATGAAAAGAGGCGAGATTGTGGTACTTGGAGTGTTGAATAGATGGACGAACGGGCACTCAGACAGATGCTAGGACGGACGCACGGATGGCTGCATGTACGGATGGTCGCATGGATGGACGCAGGGGCGGATGTTCCTTCTACGGCAAACCTTACGCCACACTTTCCCATGTCCCATTCGGCTGCCCTGCTGATCCTTCCCTGCGGGGACAACCTGTCCACTCAAGCTGGGAGGACTGGGAGGTCCTGCTCTGGTCTGAGAACTCGGTGTTGCAGCTTGCTGCGGTAACTCGCGCTGCCAATGCGATAGCGGAGAGAGGTCTGGCCACTTAGACTTGGTGCGAGACCACGCAGTAGTCCAGCAATTTTGAGGCTGCCCAGACACATTTGGTAATGAAGCTTTTTACCCTGTTCATCAAGTTCCGCCACTCACATGGACATTAGCTATGGACTAGCTATATCTGGTCAATACCGTTTTGTTGTTGACTTTGCAGGTGTGACCGCTAATGAAAACCAACATGTACAACCTCATGACAAAGCGGCCCTCAGAGCATCACTGATCGCAAGTTACTTTTATTGCAAGTTACCAGATTTTGTTGTTGACTGCATATGTATGTACGACAGTGATTCTTTCCTAGAAAAAAATGAAGTCTTGCGCTCCTAAGCACGGGGATGACGATCCAGTTGCAAGTATGAATAAAGAAAAAAGAAGAAAGCATTGTGCTATTGAAATAGTAAAATAAAGAAAAGCAGTACGGTACTATTGCACACGTTAAATTCGATAATGCGATCTCTTGAAGGTGACAGTGGGTTTTCGGTACTTCATGCTCTCATTTGTTGCAAAATCCGCGAACTGCAGCGAAAGGACATTCAAGATTGCTCCATAAAAATTTTAGTGAGATTACATCTTTGATTTGAACCACTTCGTTATTTAACTTGATTTGTTCTTTTTTGACATGTGCAAGTGACACAAACGCCATTGCATTCTCCAAAAAAACTACATATATGCAATGCTGGCTGTGTTTTCTGGTATTCTTTTTCTACCGGAACTACCCAGCTTTGTAATTTGTTCGAGTTGGTAGGCTTTGATTGCTGGAGACATTTCTTGGCAATCTTCTGCATTACAAAGTTAATGTTGGTACTTCACTCTTAGCTTTATTCCAAAGGTTTGTTTTGCTAGTTTTATATTTTTGCGCCCTGTCGATTCGTCTAACTTGACAATGACCTAAAAAAAAAAACGAAGACTAGCGATCTTGAAGAAAGCCTCTTTTTTTACTCACCCATCGGTGCTACAGCAAGAGTGACAACCAAAAGCAGCAGCTGTGCCTTCATGCCAATTTCAAATGGAACGGTGGTTGGCAGGATCCTTGTTGGTTGAGCGTCAGTTCGTGTGATCATCGACAAGCCGCTGTTACTTATAATATTCTCATCTGTCTAACGGGGCGCCTTTTGATTGCATGGAAAAAATCTGTGAGTGACTGATGCGGTGACTCAATCCAGTGCATAGAATACTTTAAAAAAATTTCAAGAAAATAACTGGATAAAAAAGGGGGGGGGGAGCAAATTACGACTCAGCCGCATTCACTTCTTTCACAAGTTATCCGTTCTTTCGATGCTGTGTAGCAACAACCATTCATATATTCGTACATACTACTGACGTCAGAGCACATCAGGGACGTGTGGGTTCTGGTACTGCAAGTACAGTTCGTACGCGTTATTATTGTCCCAATTCGTCTACAGGTGTGCCCTAAGCGTTCTATGGGGAATAATGTAACCACATAAAAGAGCCGGCGTAGCAGCTGGATAACACTAGTGATCATGAAAGTTTTTCAAATTTCCGGCATGAGGAACGTTGTCGGGAACGTTCGTGCGTGCCTAGTGGGTTTAGAAATTGTGCAATAAGGATCGCATGAGCCACGTACAGGTGTTTTTATACTGTTCAGCAGCTGTACACACAAAAAAGCACCCCGCAATGAAGTATATGGTATATGAAGTCATGTTTTATACATCTATATTTCCCTGCTGAGCCTAGAGTACGTTAAAGAGATAAGTCAACTGAAGTATTTCCTTCAAAATAGACTAAAATTTTACATATTTTAGGTGTATAGCTGACGTTAGTTGTAGTGCCCGCAGTTGTATAATGGCACATCTTTATATGAGCTTGCGCTTTTTTTTGGCGTGACGTTCAACGTAATGGGCGCAAATCTTCTCATATATTTCAGGCACATAGGAAAGACTTGGAGCATAGGCCGGCGAAAAATTCAGAGCTAACTTGAACTATGTCACGATATATATATTTCGCGCTTATGGCTCAGTCAGGCTTTTGCACAAAATTTTTTTTTCAACTGTACTGATCCATACCTAGGCTCACTAAAGCGTTTCACTAATGGAAGTACTCGGAATCAAACTCACCAAAATATTACTCACTCGGACTGACTGTGACTCACACTAAATACTCTGTCGGAGTCAGGGTGAAGCTAAGTAAGCCAAGCCGTGAGTCTGTAAGCCTAGAATAGCCGTCTTCGACGATCGTGTCGATGCTCTCAAACTAGCCAATAGCCGCTCTTCAGGTCCATCAGCTGAATGTACTTCATGTCGTGAAGTCGAAACATGACGTCATGTACCTGCGCTACCAAAACGGTGCGTTTACTTCTGATTTTGCCCAGGCGACAATATTCGACGCGTACATGCAGGGGTTCCTCATTTCTTCTTCACGAACACCACGTGAGACGCCCACGCACTTTAGATGGATAAGTGATGTCCTCGCGAAGCGTTGATCGATTTGTTGCCTTTCTGCGTCGTCTTTGCGTCTCGAAGCTCAGTGCCGCCTATGATGGATCGGTCGGGCACTCTATCCTGTTACGATACGATGTTTTGCGACTGGGGTGTGTCGAATGCTTCACGATGTCAAGAAGCGGTTTTTAAACTGCAGACGTAGGTCTTTGAGGTGGTCTTGCTAATACTTTGGAAAGCTCGGGTTGACGTCTTCATCTGGCTGGGAACCTTGGTTCGGTAGCATCGAAAAAGGGGAAAGCACGAACTCATTCGTGTAGGCAAGCCTCGTATTAACGTTGAGGTGCCACTGTGAGTTTAGTTCAAAAGTGTATATTTGCTTTCTTTTTTTGGATACACACTGCATGTAGCTGGCCAACAATTCTTCAGCTTCTGAGCAGTGGTGCCTAATTTCAGGCCAGTATGTAAGCGCGGGCACCTTGCAACTTTACCGGTGGGTGACCTGCGTAGTATTTACGCCTGACGCCGCTGAACTAAGAAAAGGAGAGGAGAGCAACAAAGAGAAATGAACGATGCAAAGCTTTGACAGAAATCCGTCACCCTCACAAAAATGCCGTTCTGTTTTGCCCTACTTCCTCGATCGCCAACCACCCAAGCAGACAACTAACCATCGCAGCTTCCGAGGAAACAGCTGCGCGCATATCAAAAACTACAAGGCCTTTATTTCTACGCGCTAACAAAACAACCGTGCATATTGGTGGTGTACCTGCACAAATGCTCTTGGATATTGGTGCTGCCACATCTTTGATGAGTGGTCAACTACGCCGCAAGTTGAAAAAGCTTAAGCGGCCGATTTCCGACGTCTCTTTCCACACTGCAACTGCGCACGACATTCAACCTTCTGTGGCGTGCACAGCTCGACTCGTCATCCAGCATTTTTTGCATGTAGTCGAAATAATTGTGTTTTTTCCAAGTTCGCACGACCTTGCGCTGACACTTTCTTTGCACTCATCATGCCATTGCTGACTGTTCGCGTGCCGAACCGGAGTTTTCGACGATGTGTGAACTGCCCGTGTGTGAAGCACTGACGTCTGACAAGCCCTCTTGCCTGCCGTTATCTTCTCGAATCACCGTGGCCACGAACACTCACATCCATCCTCTATCGTGCGTTCTTGTGCCACTCTTCAGCGAAGATGCACTATATGTCGGCGCCCTCTATACCCCCTCCGACGCCTCAGGCTCTCGTAAAAGCTTTTTTCTCCCATTTGCAGTTTTCCCCATAAAAAATCACATTGCTCGATATATATAAACAACACACTTCCTTCCCCAGCTATTTTATTCCGTTGCGAAGTCATTGGTCACCTTGAGTAAATTGATTCTGTTTTCTTCAGTCACCTAGCTATTGGCTTGTAATCATCTCTCGTGAGCACCAATACTGCTGACACCGCTCGCACTTTATCTCCCGATTTATTTTTTCATCTATGGACCCTGATCTTCCCGCTGCTCAGCGTACCCAACACCTGGCTGCACTCGATTGCTTCAGGATGTCATTGGGCCATAGCCAACCTTCCTTGGGTCGCACGTCTGCCATGTTCACCACATCAACACCGATACCATGCATCTTTTCGCCAGCGTTCATATCGAGCACGGTGGTACACCGTGCCGAGTTGTACGCCGAGTGTTACGAAAATGTGCTGCACATGGCAGCGAATTCTTGTGTTGCGACCGTGCCATACCGTGCGACCATGCACCCACCGTGTCACTTCGGTCCTCCCGCACGACAACCGGCACACCTCGGCGGGAGGACAGTGCCCCACACCATAGGGTGGTGTTTTTCGCGTTTCCCCTTAACAGTCACGAATTCTATGCGCTGGACAGAGTCATACAGTAACACCGCTGAACTCTGAACAGTCTAGGATTGCCAGCTGCGCATGCTTGCCAACACCCTGTACACATACTCCTTGGCTTATGGCGTTTCCATTTTTTTATTTCATTAGTGTGTTTCATAAAATTCTTTTCTCTACCCCTGACGCGTCCTTGCAAACCCTTTCTCGTCCGTCAGTCGCAACCCACGCGAAGAATGTCCACAACCATCACGACTGCGTTTCTAACGCGTGACGGATTGAACGAGTTAAACGGAAAGCCTTTCGACCTCTGCAAGGAGCTCGCCACCTTCCAATGTTCCATGGACAACATCCTCAGAGGTTTGAAATTGAACACATGCCTAGGCTAGTTGTATGACACCGTCGTTTCTCAAAGGAATTCGACTTCCACCCGACTCCCACGGCGTCATGACTTGTCATACGGACTCTGGACTGCAGCTGAACTCCAAGAAATGCCACTTCACCATCCGCCAGCTTACCATCTTTGGGCATATTGTGAGCAAGCATGGCGTCCGTCCCAATCCGGCCAAGCTTCGCGCTCCCACCACTTTGATCCGGATGCTCCAACGGAAATCCACGCAACCACTAGTGGACTACGCCTCAGCGCTATTCCAGTCCAGCATAAGTGTGGTTTTGATGAGTATACGTTGTTTCATGCGCTTTTCGCACCCTGACTAAGGCGGAACCGAGCTACCGAGTCAAGGAAAAATAATGTATTGCCATTGTTTGGGTAATCGCAAAATTCTGACCTTACATATATGGCCGCCCATTTCACGTCATAACTGATCACCACACATTGTGTTCGTTACCGTCATTGAAAGATCCATCTGGTCACTAACTTGCTGGTCGCTACGTTTTCCAGATTACGACATCCGTGTAGCTTATCGGGCAGGCCGTAAGCATTCGGACGCTGAAGCTCTTTCTCACTTGCCACTTCCCCACGATTATGTTACAGCGTCTATTTCCAGCTGCGAATATTCTTCACTCTAACAAGCCGAGATGTCGTCTGAGCAACGCCAGAATCCATGGATAGCATCTGTCCTAAAGTAATTGTCTCAGATGTCTCCACGTATCAACCACCGTTCCTTTCAACTAACTGCTTGCCACTTTACAATCTCTGGCGGCCTTCTGTACCGGCAAAACTACTTATCCGAGGGCCGCAATGGGTTGCTGGTAATCCCTCGTCACCTACGTTCTGTAGTGAATAAAAAAGACGTTGATACCATCAGGTCAGCTATCATCAACACAAGAAAAAGGCACGAGAACGGTGATCAAGCACCGTCATCTGGGTCCGCCTGCGTTCCTTTAGAGCTACAACCCGCTTGCTCAGTCCTTCAATAAACCCCCTTTACATAAGGTGGATCGTGCTGGGTAACTACAGCACCTACACCCTGGAACTCCAATCCCGCACCCTGCCGTCGACCATTCAAGTTGACGCTGGCCAACAGACAGCACCTGTCGCAGCCGCTACTTGCCCCGGCCCGGTTCACAAGCGAGACCCCCCGATCTTTTCAGGCGCCGAAGACCAGGACGTCGAGGACTGGCTGTCGTCCTACGAAAAAGTCAGAGGACCAAACAGGTGGGATGACGCTGCTAAGTTGATCACAGTCAACTTTTACTTGGCTAATGTGGCGAAACTGTGGTACACAAACCACGAATCCGAGTTCGAAAACTGGGCCACTTTCAAGCAAGCAATATCCTCGGTTTTCGGTCGCCCTGCTGTGCGGAAGTTGTGCGCCGAACAACGCCTGCGCCAACGCCTGCACTGTTGATGCCGCAATGAGCGAAAGTGCCAAGATCCAGCAAATTATGAAAGGTGTTGATGACGACGTATTTCAAATGCTCCTTGCGAAGTCTCCTGGCAAGGTGTCTGAAGTGGTAACTCTGTGCCAGAACTACGACGAATTGCGACGGCAACGAACTCTCACCCGTCGTTCATTTCAGCCTAACTAACCACTCGCTGCACTGGACGTCGT